CCTGTGTGCGTTCGCATGCGCACTGTTCGAAACCACATGCCGTGACGACGACGCCGATGCATGTTTCCTGACAGAGCTAACTACCGTATACGCACACGGCGACCGTGCCTATCTCTTATCAGCGCGAATGCATACCCACACCGCGGCTTAGTGTGAATGGGGAAGGGAGCATGAGTGGGCTCCGTCTATAACTGGTTTGCCCCCTCACTCCCGTCAGGCGTGCCGGCGTTGGTCTGACAAGTGCAAACGCCATTGGGGCTGGATTTCGAATGATTCTGCGGCCTGCTGCCGATCGAACGTGGCATGAAATGGGGTGCCAAGCGAAGGGGGACAATGAGGAGTAGGATGAAGAGGGGAATACTTGATACTTGCCACTTTCTGTCCCGGAGTGCAACAACTTCAGCTTTCAAGATTGCTGCAACAAACAACAATGCGGCTTGCTATCGTACACGCGTTCTTTACGCACTCACTCATGGCTTCTACTTCGGCTTCTACTTCTATCCTCGCCGCAATATTTTCTGGAATTCACGGCCCTCCTGATGAACCGTGGCCCCCTCCACCTCCTCCTCCAACCACGCTTCAAGGTAGTACATAGTGCGTGCCGTATGAAGAGGTGGGAGGAACAGGGAGAAAGAGGATGAGGGAGAACAAGGAATATAAGGAGGTGGGAGGAAGAGGGAGAAGGATGAGACGGATGAATGGGATACGGATGAGGCGGAGTGGTAAGACGGGTGATGGCCCGCCTCCTCCTCTTCCTCCTCCTTATCTTCATCCTCCTTCATTCATTATCCTTATAAGTAACTCCTCCTTGTCACACCCCAGACGTGTCCGTAGGGCGGGCGAGGCATTTCGCCTGGGACTTCTCCATCACTTGTGACCCCGAGGCCGGACATGTGCAACAGCTTCGAGGATGGAGGGCGAGCCGGTTTCAAGATGTGGTTCTCGCCACAGCGCCGCGCATGTTTGTCCTCAACGTTTGCAGCAGTGTCGAGGGTGGAGGGCGGGCGGCTCCTTCCGAAATGTGGCTCTCGCTCCAGCGCCGCGCACATCTGTCCTAAAAGCCTGCAGCAGCTTCAAAGATGGAGGGCAGGCCGTTTTGAACATGTGGCTCCCGCCTCAACGCCACGCACGTGTGTCTTACCAATTTGCAGCATCCTCAGAGATGGATGGCGTTCCGTTTCAAAATGTAGCTCTCACATTTGCGCCGCGCGCTGCCGTAAAAATGTGCAACGGTCCCAAAGATCCGTAGGATTGAAATCCCAGGACACGTGTTCTGACACGATTCCGGAGCGCCAGGACGCAACAATTCGCCGGCCCAACGGGCCAGAGGCGTGCTAAGATCTCCGGTAACATCTATACAATATTTCTACTTCGCGCGCGCGGGGCGGCCCCTGGGGGTCCCCGGACCAAAAGCGGCCCGGGCGCGGCCCGGGCGCGGCCCGGGACTCCCCCCAGGGCTCTCAGGATCGCCCCAAGAGGGCCCCAAGAGGCACACAACACGGTCCAAGGTGGCCCGAGACGCCCGAAGATCGCTCCACGACGCCAAAGCTGGCATCCAGACGGCCCAAGAGGCCTCCAAAATGGCCCTAGAGGCCTCCAAGATGCCCCAAGAGGCCTTCAGGAGCACTCCCAAGAGAACCCACGGAAGCAAAATTCATTCCTTCCCCTTAGGTTTGGGACAGATTTGGGCGTTTCCACCCTTTCGGCTTCCCGACGCCCCTAGACGACTCAAGAGGCCACCAAGACGGCCCCAAGAGGGCCCAAGAGGCCCCCAAGAGGGTCCCAAGACGGCCAAAGACGGCCCAAGACGGCTCCAAGACGGCCCAAAAAAGCCCCCAAGACGGCCCAAGAGGGCCCCAAGAATGCCTCAAGAGGGGCCCCAGAAAGGGAACACGAAACAAAATCTCGAACTCTCGGCCCTCAGAGGCCCCCAGGAAGCCCCAAGAGGCCCCCAACAGGCCCCAAGAGGCCCCCAAGACGCCCTGGGGAAGTCCCCAAGACGCCCCCTAGAGGCCCCCAAGCGCCCTCAGGAGGCACCCCAAATGCCCCCCGGGCACTCAACCAGCCAGCGATCATCATCCTCCTCCTCCTCCTCCTCCTCCTCCTCCTCCTCCTCGTCCTCCCTCCTCCCTCCTCCATCATCTTTCCTTTCTCCTCCCTCCTCCCTCCTCCTCCTCCCATCTCCTTCCTCCTCCTCCTCCTCCTCCTCCTCCTCCTCCTTCTCCTTGCTCCTCCTCCCTCCCACTCCCTCCCTCATCCTCCTCCTCCTCCACCTCCTCCTCCTCCTCCTCCTCCTCCTCCTCCTCCTCATCCCCTCCAATTTATCTTCGACGCAATACACACTCTGCGTTTGAAAGGATGCAGGGGTCCCAGAGAGGGAACACGAAAACACATTTCGAGCCTCCAGCCCTAAGAGGCCCCCAGGAGGGCCCAAGAGGCCCCCAAGAGGCCCCCTAGAGGTCCCCAACAGGCCCTCAGGAAGCCCCCAAGAAGCCCCCTA